ACCTCCCCCTCCTCCAGCAGGGTGTCCCCCAAAGAGGTATTCCAAAACAGAAAGTTGAAGTGGTTCACTTAAAAAAGTTAACTACTTTCCCCTCGAAATAGCACGTTTATGGTAAATACTTATCTGTCAATTTGCGACGCACTTTCACACACCTGATTACCTCCACCGACAGGAGGAAGTCAGGTCCGCCGGTCAAAGTTACGTCCACGTGCTGGTCTCTAGTGTCACATGAACCGGTCCTCGTGGTAGATATTTCGGATCCTATGTGAGCCTGCTACACGCCGATTAGGACTTAAAATGCGTGTCAGGTGTCGCAGCGGTGCTTTTGAAACAATGTACTAAGGGAGGGAGGATAGGCCATTGAGACAGACAAACTTCTCTCCAGTCCTTTATCCCACCCTCTGAAACATTTGCCACGACAGACTACTGGAAATGTGCCAAAGTGGCAGTTGAACGGGGCAATTAGTTTGCTTTAACATCGGACGAGCTGGTATTCGCCTGTATATCCTAGACTTGAGGACGTGCATATTCCACACTGAAATCGGGCTGGATCCGTGGACGTTAGGTCCATGTGACCAGTCATAATCCGTCTACGAGCGCCTTTCTTGTCTCCTTTAATGGGGCCTTTTCCGTCTCTAAGTCTGCGTAGGCCAACCGTCTCCGCCTCCGCCCCCTTCTACCCACCCCGCTTTCCCTTCAACACAGGTTACCAGCCTTTTGTCTGTCCTTTTTGCTGTTCAGATTTCCAAGAGACCGACTCTGATCCGCAGACCTCAGCGGACGCCAACGGCGGCGGATCCCATGCCAACTCCCTCACAGACATCCAGCGTCACCAAATTAAGCACAGAGAACTCTTCCTTTCACGTCAGGTGGAGTGCCTGCCGGCAACTCATATTCGAGGTATGTAGGAGGTCGCATTTACCTGTCTGGAGACTCAATTTTGGCATTCTTCTTTTTTAGCCACTCTATTGATGGTGGCTGATTGGTAGTTGGTTTAAATATAAAGTCCTGCATACTGTGTGCCTTGCAGTGCGACTTGGTTGGCTGACGGGAGAACTGGGCATGGGTGGTAAGCCGACCAATAGGGGTTTCTCTGACCACCAGCCATACAATGAGAACAACATTGTGGCTAGTGGAGAGCCGCACAGAATGCACTTGACTGCATTCCTCTGCAAGTGGCTCTTGCCAAACTCGCGTTAGGCAGCTGGATCTGAGATGTGCATGGCATAGTTGGCCCTGCTCCTCGTCGCAGGGCGTCGGTGTTACTGGCACACTCGAGTTGGCAACTACGATGTGCCTCGTGGTGTCTGGTGGATGATTTGATTGATGTTGATCACGCTGTTCTCTGACTGGGTCAGTCGTTTCGAGATGCCTGAAATTTGATGTGGCTGTGACATGTGTCTAAGGCAAGAAGACTCTGAATACCGCTGAGGAAGGTCCTATGAATTTGTCTGCAGATACTCAAGCCACGCAATTTTGGCACACACACACACACACACACATGAGGCTGGTGACAGTCGTCTTCCCTTAATTCACTTTCTTCTACTTCCACACGGTTTCATTTACAACAACAATTGACCCGGAACATGCACAGGTGGTAAAAGTACCTTTGAAACATTACTAATCCTGCCAGTGGAGATGAATGACAGAGGTTAGTGAAGCAATCGGTCAGAAGGGAGCAGGTAGTCTTTTCAGACGGTTCCGGACTGATTGGGGGTTTGTTGCTTCCCTTGTCCTCACCTCTGCACAGTTTTGCTCTCCTTCAGTCTACAAAACCAACTACTATGGGACTGTTAATTGCTGACAGTTTTCTTTGAACACTGAGGAATATGAGGCCCGTTTGCTG